GCCAAGTGATTAGTTTATTAAAATACTTATAGATGATTTGATTTGTGCTTTTATTACACATCTGAATTTAAAATATTTGCAACCTTCCTTTGGCTATTGCTAGTGATTTTAAATGAGACATCTTTGTGTATGAATCCATTTGGCTTTTCTGAAAGTTGTTTGCATTTTATTTGTAAAGTATTATATATTATTATTTAAACAAGTTACTTTCACCTAAACTTAACATTCAAACCATCTAAATTTATTAAAATGTGCAAAATATGTGCATGGTGGTGAGACAGTTGATAAATCTGGAATTTGTTTTCCTCTTTTTCTTCCTTTTAGGTGTCTAATGTCCCCAACATCAGTAGATTGCCAACTCCCTCTCTTTGCAACACCCCAGCCAGCATTATGCTGGTGCTGTCATGCCCATTTCAGATTACTGCAGCAGAATGGAGTTGTTCTTTAGTTGTAAGGTAAGTTTCCCTTCCCACTCATTTCACACACATAGACTCAGCTTTTCATTTTACAGTATTGTGCAGTTTTGTGAATTTTTTAAAGTTTCTTTTTCCATATGGTTCCTTAGGTTATTACTGTGTCACATTCAAAAACTTACAAAACTGCATAATATAATAAAGGACTTATCTTGTGACCATAGACCAACTCCTTTTTTGTAGTAATTCCTATGAGGTTAGAAAACCTCCACTGTTTGACATTTGGGACATCTGGAAAGGGAGCTGGCAATCTGCAGCTGCTGTGGACATTGGATGAGAAAGTATTGAAAGGTAAACTTCAAATTTAATCCATATTGTATGCCTTTGGTTCCATGGTGTATGCTTGAAATTCATACTGTATTCTATGTTAAACTTTATAATACATTCATTTTAAAAATTACTTCTTTTTTAAAGTGATTTTCAGTAAATGTTTGACTTATTAAATTCACAAACACATTGGGATTATCTTAGAAAATATTTTTTACCCCTGAAAATAGTGAGAATTCTAATTTTCAGAACAATTTATTTATCCTTATTTATATTCCTGTTTATAAAGAAAAGTAAGAGCTAAATTTATATACATAAAGCTTATTAAATATATTTTATTAGAGAAACAGTTATAGCTCTGTTCCACAAATGACCTTTTATTAGTCCTTCTACCTACCATCTTTATCTTTGATTCTATATTGATCAGTGCTGACAAAGATTGTAAGAGTCTTCTAATTTTTATTACATCTGTATTCTGTCTTACGTGTTTGTAAATAGGAGAACTTGCTGTTTTCCTTATTTCTTAATTCACTTTTAAACTTTAGTTCACTATAATTTTAAGTACTGTTGTAATTAAACAATACATTTGAGATTTTAATTTTGCATTACAGAGATACCTACCTTTAAATACAGGTGCTTACAACAAGATAGTCTCTTCTTTAGGAATTGCCTTTGTATAGGCCAAGAAAAATAGCATTATATTATCTGCATATGTAAATCAAGTTGATCAGTCAGCAAAGCTATTGCCTGTGTTTAGTTAATGACCTGACTTAAAGTTCTGGCAATATTTGTTTGATTTTAATATTAGACCCAAGTTAAGGTAAATTGTTACCATCTCTGACTAACTTTTAAAATTTGTAACTTTTCTTCTCCTTACATTAGTCCCATTGTATACTGTGACACTCTGAGATCATCTCTTATTAGAAAGGGACATATTATTTTAATTCCATTTGGTTTTATTGACCAAAGATGATAAATGAAACAAGCAGTGTGAGTTTCTCTTTTACTACCAAGTAGTTAAAGTACCTTGCCTCAAATACCAATCCCAGAGCAGTGATTCTGAACTTGTTAAAACCTGTGTCCCCTTTTAATCAACCTAAAAACTATGGACACCCATACCCCATGGCAGGGTATAGGAATGCCTTTTGTCAAGGTCATATTATATTCTTTATATGTATCTTCTAGTCAAAACATTTTATCAGTCTTTCTATAATTTGTGTTATGCATGTAATAAACTTTTTGTTTGCTTCCCAAATACAGAATGGTTAAATATGCATTTTCAAATGTAAATGAAATATTCCATCACTATCTCAATTTGGGAATATGTAATATAAAGAAAGGAAAGAAGGCAAAAATATGTATATAAAGTTAGAAGGCCATAGACATTCCCAAACAGGTCAGTGGGTAAGACAGAATTATATTGAAGTTAGAAATCTATTCTCTGATTAATATTTACTGACTCCTTCCCTGTGTCCACCAGCTAGTTCAGAAGTTTATTTCTGGGCATTGGATTAATTAAAATTTAATAAACCAAAATAAAACCAAAAGATAAAATCTTCCTAATATTTTAAAAATTCTCTTATACAAAAATTAATGTTGCAGTTTAGTAAAGACACAAACACAGATGACAAATGTCTTGCAGTAATGACATCCAGTTACACAGTCTTCCCTTCTTGTGCCTCACTTACCTAGTTCTAAGGTCCCATAACACTAGTAGTCTTTCTGCATTCCCCATCCCATCTCCATCACACTAATCCAGACAGCAGCCATACTACCCAAGTTAATTCTGATCTGCCATTCTGCCCCTTCTGACCCCCCAGTAAAAAGGAATTCAGCATGCTTGGTGTTCCCTGGCCTTTTCACAGTTTTCCAATTAATTATACCCAAAGAGTATATTCTCTCCACCTTCATTCCTCATTTCTGTTTTCTCTCTGCTGTCTTTAACTTAGGAAAAGTTTACTTCTACTCTCACCATTTTATTTTTAAGCCAAATGATAGTTAAGTAGAAAAATAACATTGTTGACATGCCCTGTTAAAGGGAAAAGTCTCCACCTTCCTATTTTCTTTTTTTTTTTAATTTTCTATTTTTTTTATTGAAATAAAAACCTGTCTCATTCCTCAAAGGATTTAGGGCAGCTGTCATTTGCCTTTTTACCTTCCTCAGTTAGCTTTCCCTAGATGAAAGTTTTTTCCTAGTCAGTTTTATTGTTTATAATTTAACTAGAGGCCTAGTGCACGAATTGGTGCATGGGTGGGGTCTGGCCCGCCCGGCCCCAATCGGGGCAGGTGGGGGCTGGGCCTATTGGGAGGAGAATATGGCAGGAGGTTGGCTGGCCAACCCGCCCCAATCGGCCAGATCAGGGGCAAGCTGGCTGGGGGGAGGGGCTGGCTGGGGGGAAGGGAAGGGGCGTTTGGCTGGAGGTCAACTCTTGATCAGGTGGGAGAGTCCGATCAGGGGCAGGCCGGCAGTGGGGAGGGGCTGCGAGGTTGGCTGGCCGGCCCCACCCCCTGACCTGGCCAGGTTAGCTGGCCACAGTGGTTGTCATAGCAACCGGTCCTTATGGTTGTTATGGCCATTATGGTCACTGGCTTTTTATATATATAGTTTGCTTTCATGAGTTAGAATAAGCACTTCATACTATTTCATAACATTCCTTTTGGGGAGAACTTTTGAGGTATTAATTATTGTTAACTTGAAAGTATTTGACAAGAGGGAAGATATATCTACATTAGCATATTATGAAATATTAAGATATATCTACATTAGCATATTAATTAATTATTAAATTAATTTTTTTCATAATGCTATGATTTATCATGCCACTAAGAAGACACAAGAATGAGTGAGCCTGTTTATGTGCACGTGCACAGAAAATCCCACATCTTCCTATTTTTAATAAACAGGAAGATTAATTTTTTTAAGATTAAAAAAACCTCAGTGGTAAAAATGTACTGTAGTTATTTAATATTTTTATGTACATAGACATTCTGTTGGTTTAAAATACAAAAACTTTTGAGAATAGGAACTGTGCACTTAATCTCTTAGGTTTATATGCGACTAAAATTTCCATGACTGAAATCTTGAAGGTTTTAGATACATACACAATTCAAAAATTTATGCACATATTTAGAATACGTTTTGCTTTAGGGAGCAGTAATTTTTCTGCCTTAATGTTCTACAAATGTGCAATTGGCTCAACGGTTGCTATGGGATGAAATCTAATTCTTTACATGCTAAATATGATCCATAACATATATAGTAGTATGTATTTTGTTATTTAAAAAAATAAAACAAATGGGCTATATGGTATGTGAATTATATCTCAAAGCTGTTAACCTCCGCGCGCCCCCCCCCCCCAAAAAAAGAAAAGAAAATAGTCTTTTTAAAAAAATATATTTTATTGATTTTTTACAGAGAGGAAGGGAGAGGGATAGAGAGTTAGAAACATCGATGAGAGAGAAACATCGATCAGCTGCCTCCTGCACACCCCCTAATGGGGATGTGCCCGCAACCAAGGTACATGTCCTTGACCGAAATCGAACCTGGGACCTTTCAGTCCGCAGGCCGACGCTCTATCCACTGAGCCAAACCAGTTAGGGTGAAAATACAGTCTTTTATATAACAGTAAATGATGATGATGGCGGTGGTGATGTTGATAGATGTGCACTAACATTATGGAGAATAGGGTATAAGCTACCTAGAGATATAACGTGAATAATTCTATGGGTACTACTAAAACATATCTTTACTAGAGGTTTTTATAACCTATGTCAGATTGAATTTATATGATCCAGTTTTTAAGAGATAGTGATGTAATTTTAAGAACTTGAACTTCAGCATCAGGCTGATGCGGGTTCACCTTATAGGACCTTAAATCATTTATCATTTGTTAAGTGAGACTAAAGTGCACATACCTCAGAAGGGTTTTCATACAGCTAGAGTGCGTATGCGCTGTCATACTCACTTCAACTGTCCCTTCTTCCCATCCCCTCCATATATGAATGAAATGCTTTTGAGTAATGCTTTTTAGCAAATGGAGGGGTGTCAGTAATTATTAACTCAGTGTAGCATTGCAGTATTGAAAATGATGACAATATATCAAATAAGGTTTTTACAGGATACATCCCCCTTTCTGCAATCTTCTAGAAGAGATACTTATTTCATGGATATTGGTGTTTTGGTTTTTACTCAGAAAATAAGGGTTGACATTCATTTTTAGATTAAATCTAAGGGATTTACTTTTAAAATTGTGTTTTTAGGGTAAATGGTATCATCGGAGGCAAGCTGTAAAAGAATTGCATAGTACATTGATACGTCTTTTAAATGAACTGCTGCCATGGGAACCAAAATTAATGAAAGCTTTTCAAAGAAACAGGTAACTCAAGCTTTATAATTTGTTTTATTTACTTTAGGGCTCTTAATTTAGGACTTATGAGAAGATGTCCTGGAATATTTAGTAGTTTTTATTGATTTATAATTTAGCAGTTATTTTGAGTGTCTCCTATGTACAAGAGACTTCCCAAGCCCTGAAAAAATAATGTTAACAAAACCCTTTCTCTGTGCCTTACATTCTTTTTCTTTATTGTGGTAAAATGCACAAAATTTACCATCTTAACCAGGTTTAAGTGTGCAGTTCAGTGATTTAAATACATTCATAATGTTTTGTTACTATTATCCATCCATCTCAAGAACTGAAACTCTATACCTATTAACTCTGCATTTTCCCTGCTCCCTAGTCCCTGGTAACCACCATTCTATATTTTGTCTCTATAATTTTGACTACTATAAGTCCTTATATAATATACAATATTTGTCTTTTTGTGACTTGCTTATAGAATAATGTTCTCAAGGTTCATTCATGTTGCAGGATATATCAGAATTTTCCTCTTTTTGAAGGCTGAATAATATTCCATTGTTTGCATTTATCACATTTTCCTTAGGTAACAATTTTTATGTTGTTAGCTATTATGAATAAATTGTTATGCACATAGGTGTACTAATATCTGCTTTTAATTCTTCGTGTATATACCCCGAGATGGGATTGCCAGATCGTATGGTAATTCTACTTTCAATATTTTGAGGAATCACCATATTGTTTTCCACAATGACTATACAATTTTACATTCCCTACAAACTGTGTGTAATGGTCCCATTTTATCACCAACATCTGTTATTTTCTATTTTTTTATAGTAGCTATCTTAATGAGTATGAAGTGGGTGGTATATTGTAGTTTTGATTTGCATTTTTCTAATGATTAGTGATATTGAATATCTTCTTTTTTTATTTATTTTTTAAAAATATTTTTATTGATTTCAGAGAGGAAGGGAGCGGGGAGGGAGATAGAAACATCAATGATGAGAGAGACTCATTGATTGGTTGCCTCCTACATGCCCCCTACTGGAGATCCAGCTTGCAACCTGGGCATGTGCCCTTGACTGGAATCGAACCTAGGACCCTTCAGTCCACAGGCCGACGCTCTATCCACTGAGCCAAACCAGCTAAGGCTTGACATCTTTAAATATTAAGTCTTCCCACTACAAAGAAAGAAAATTAGAGGCCAATATCCCTGATGGACATAGATGAAAAAATGCTCAACAAAATATTAGCAATCTGAATTCAGTAATACATTAAAAAGAACATACACTATGATCAAGTGGGATTTCTTCCTGGGATGCAAGGTTGATACAATATTCACAAATCAATTAACGTGTTATACCAGATAAACAAAATGAAGGATAAAAATTATATGTTCAGCCCAGCCAACGTGGCTCAGTGATTGAGCATTGACCTATGAACCAGGAGGTCACGGTTTGATTCCTGGTCAGGGCACATTCCCGGGTTGCTGGTTGGATCCCCAGTTGTGGGTGTGCAAGAAGCAGCCAATCAATGATTCTTTCTCATCATTGGTGTTTCTATCTCTCCCTCTCCCTTCCTCTCTGAAATCAATAAAAATATATTAAAAACAAAAAACAAACCAAAAAAAAATCACAGCATGGTCTGTAAGATGGTACAATCCCCATTTAAAAAAATTATATGATCATATCAATAGATGCTGAAAAAGCATTTTAGAAGATCCAGTACTCACCCTATATAATAAAAGGGTAATATGCAAATTGTCCCTTCGACCAGAGTTTGACCAGGGTGTGGGGGCAGCCCACAGACTGCTGGGGTCCTTGCCCCCAGCCGGCCCCATCCCTGATCGACCCACACACACACTGATCGGGGGCGGGGCTGGCCAGACCCCACCCGTGCACAAATTCATGCTCCAGGCCTGTAGTTTATGATAAACTCTCGGCACAGTGGGAATAGAGGGAACATACCTCAACATAATACAGGCCATGTATGAATATATGACAAACCTACAGCCAACATCATACTTAATGGGAAAACTAAAAGTGTTTTCCTTAAAATCAGGAACAAGACAGGGCTGTCCACTTTCACTACTCTTATTCAGCATAGTACTGGAAGTTCTAGCTACAGCAGCCAGACAAGAAGAAATAAAAGGCATCCAAATTGAAAAGGAAGAAGAAAAACTGTTGTTATATACAGATGGCATGATACTGTATATAGAGAACCCCAAAGTTTCCACTAAAAAACTACTAGGACTGATAAATGAATTCAGTGAAGTAGTAGAATACAAAATAAATATTCAGAAATCAATTACATTTTAATACACCAATAATGAACTAGCAGAAAGGGAAACTAAGAAAACGATCCCGTTTATAATTGCATTAAAAAATATGTAGGAAATTTTTAATCAAGGAGGTAAAAGACCTATACTCAGAAAATTATAAGACAGTGGAGCACAAAATTGAAAGAAGATACAAATAAATGGAAGTATATACTGTGCTCATGGATGGGAAGAATAACATCATTAAAATGTAAAATACTACTCAAAGTAATCTGTAGATTCATTGCAGTTTCTATCTTAATACTTAATAGCGTATTTCACAGAATGAAAAGAAGTAATCCAAAAATTTATTTATTTTTATTTTGTGTGTGTGTGTGTGTGTGTGTGTGTGTGTGTGTGTGTGACTTTTACACTGCTGAGCCGTGTCCAGCCCTAAAAGCGTGGTTTCCATCTTTCCCTCTGAGTCTCACCTCCTTCATCTCTTTGATGCACTAAGAATGCTCTCTGTGGATCAGTGAAGAGTTGCAGCCCCCCAGGCATAGAGCTATGACAGAAAATCAATGTACAGTGTGGACAGTTGAGGAGAACTTAAAAAATGTCTTAAACAAGTCCACACTCTTCAGTCCCCCACTGCCAGTGGTGGAGACAGCTGGGGGGAGGGGGGGGTCATACCTGCTAATCGGCACATTCTTTTTTAGTGTCTGGAGGTTTAGCAAAACCAGCAGATGAAAACTACAGTCAACATCATAATTAGAAAACATGTAGATTCACAAATGATTCTGACACTTTTCCCCTCCTGTCCCTATGGTGAGTGTATTTTAAAAATACTGAACTCAGCACTTTGCTTAAATCATGCTGAGACCTAATGTGCATTTTATTTTCTCTCTAAAAGCAACACTTAGCGACTTTTACTTGCTGGCATCATCTGGTACCAAGAACAGTGAGAGTAATCCAAAAATTTATATAAAACCACAAAAGTCCCTGAATAGCCACAGCAATCTTAAGAAAGAAGAATAAAGTTGGACGTTATTATGCTACCTGTTATAAAACTATACTACAAAGCTATAATAATCAAAACAGCATGGTACTGGTATAAAAACAGACATATAGATCAATGGAACAGAAGGGAGAGCTGAGAAATAAACCCATGCCTATTATGGTTAGTAAATATAGGGTTCTCAAAAATGTATACACACATTTTGAAAAATTACAAAGGCAATGTTTATTAAAATACATTTCATTTTCAAAATTGAGCTATCAGCTGTTAAAGTGTGTATACATTTTTGGGGGACACCCTGTATTTGACAAAAGAGACAAGAACATACAATGGGATAAAGACAGTCTATTCAATAAAGGGTGTTGGTAAAATTGGACAAATAGATGCAAAAAAAATGAAACTAGACCACCTTTTACACCATATATAAAAATAAACTCAAAATGGATTAAAGACTTAAATATAAGACTCGAAACCATAAAACTCCTAGAAGAAAACATAGGCAGTAAAATCTCTGACATTTCTCTTGGCAATATTTTTTTCTGATAAATCTTCTCATGCAAGGGAAACAAAAACAAATGGAACTACATGTTTTGCACAGCAAAGGAAACCATCAACAAAACAAAAAGACATCCTACTAAATGGAAAATATTCACCAGTATACATCCAATAAGAGGTTAATATTTAAAATTTATAAAGCACTCATACAATCCAACACACACACACACAAAATAAAACAATCCAATTTGAAAATGGGCAGCCCTGGCCAACATGATGCAGTGGTTAGTGTCGGCCTGTATACGGAAGGGTCACGGGTTCAATTTTGGTCAAGGACACATGTACCTAGGTTGCAGGTTCCATCCTTGGTTCGGTCAGGGCACATGCAGGAGGCAACCAGTCGATGTGTCTCTTTCACATTGATGTTTTTCTCTCTCTCCCTCCTCCCTCCCACTTCTTCCCCCCTCCTTTTCATTCTCTCTGAAAATCAATGGAAAAAATATCCTCAGGTGAGGATTTTTAAAAAAAAAATTAAAAATGGGCAAAGAGGGCCCTGGCTGGGTGGCTCAATTGGTTAGAGCATCGTCCCATACACCAAAAGGTTGCAGGTTCCATTCCTGGTCAGGGAACATACCTAGGTTCCAGGGTGCATACCTCCTGATCACATTGCATTCAGGAGGCAACCAATCAGTGTTTCTCTCTTCACAGCGATGTTTCTTTCTCTCTCTCCCTCCCTCCCTTCCTATCTCTCTAAAATCAATAAAAAATATCCTCGGGTGAGTATTAAAAAAATAATTATAAACATATGGATGTACCTAGAAGGTACTATGCTAAGTGAAATAAGTCAGTCAGAGAAGGACAAATATCATATGATTTCACTTATTTGTGGAATCTAAAGAAAAAAATAAATAGAAATAGACTCATAGATAGAGATCAAATTGATGGTCACCAGAGGGGAGGGTGTTTGGGGGCCTGGGTGAAAAAGGTGAAGGGTCTAAAGAAGTACAAATTGGTAATCACAAAATAGTCATGGGAATGTAAAAGTATAGCATAGGGAATCTATGTATATATCTATGTATATAAAAGCCTAAGTGATCCTTATGACTGGTCGCTATGACATGTACTGACCACCAGGGGACAGATGCTCAACGCAGGAGCTGCTCCCTGGTGGTCAGTGTGCTTCCCACAGTGGGAGCACCTCTCAGCCAGAAGCCCAGCTCACAGCTGGTGAGTGCAGCTGCAGCGGCAGGA